CATGATACAATGCGATCAAAGATGAGTTGCTGTCGAGTCACCTTTGGAATTTTTGTTTACATGGGAAATCATATTTAACTTAAACTTCCAAAGGCGACTCGACAGCAACTCATTTTTGATCGCCCGTTATACACATGTGCAGTATAATGTAATATTGCATTAAACATGTTAGGTCGTTAAATAGAAAATAAAAAATTTTAACCATTTAAACGTCCACATTTCGCCAATTAACAAAATAATTAGAGTAAGTGGTCCAAATATGGACACCCCCTCGGGTACCCCTTCTATTTATTGCTCAACACTTAAAAATCATATTTAAACCAAGATAATAGTCGTAATAAATCGTCATTAGGTACTTTTCGCAATATATACAAAATTATGTTTCCCAAAAGTTAAAATGTAGGTAGATATAACATGTAAATTTATAACACAAACGAGAATTTCACTATTTATCACATCGGCATCGATGTTGGAATTTAACTCATACCCAACTCAATTTGCTTATATAGCGAATAAAAAGATTCTAGAGTAAGTAATCATATTTCCCGGAAATAACGCGTCACATTCGCTTTCATTCATTATCGCCAGTTACTAATCCTTTGGCGACTTGTTGGTACCGGGATATCTCTCTAGAAAATTCGCTACAGTAACATATGTACGTCATTTAAAATATCGAAGATACTTATAATTATTTAATATCTGCGAGATATATTTGTTTCATTTAAATTATTCAGTTATTCAACCAAACCTTGATACCGTTTGTCCGTTACTATTTAAATGTAAAAACTTTGTTCCATACATTTAATAATGTAACCAACTTGGAACCCACAGTAATAAGAAAGTTAGAAATAGTTCCGGCTTTAGTTGGAACACACTGTCAGATGGTCTTGCAGGTTTTCAATTAATCATCACGCGACACAAGGAAGCCCTGATTAATTTTTGCGGGGGAACACAAATTATATAGTTACGCCACTGCATACAACCCGATACAACCTATAGATGTTATGATTGAATATTATTTACGTTTCAACTTTTTTCAAGGGTAGGGTATACAATTAGTTCGTTGTACTTGTTAATATTAGCCACTGTTTTGTGTACCAATTAAAACATATAATATCTGAATATCACCATATTAAAATTTCTTCACTAAATTTACATACAAAACTTATTATTACCAAACAATAGTCGTTTACGCAATAAAATTACGTTATCGCCAAATTAATCTTAGGCTTTGCACAAACAAGTACCATTTGTTTATAATTGCGAATGACTCGTTATCTTTTGTTACGATAACTTCTTTATCGTTTCAAATTTGATTATTTTATCCTCGATTTTATCTGAAACTTCATTACACACAGGATGAATATTTCAATATTCTGCTTTGCAATCCAAATGAATAAATAAACAATATGAATAATCAAAAGCATAGCGATAAATATTTAATACAATGCGAAACAATTCCATATTTTGATTCGACTCAAAGGGCCAATTTATAACCTTACTTTATGTGAGATTCAATCGCAATATGTAAATGATAAAACTGCAGATAAGGCAGGTTCATCTATTAAGATATGCTCAATTGCTCAACTGGCTTAGGTTATTCGCACAACTAATCGGCCCTGTAGTGTATCGATATTGTTAGCGTGTTTTCCTTAAAGTGAAAAAACCCTATTGGCTGTACTTTGTACCGTCCGTTCGTCCGTCACACGTACTCCTTGTACACCACTGAACCGATTTGGGCGATATAGGGCTCATTTGAAAGGGTTTGGTTCAAGGATATTTTTTGGTTTTGCGCATGCGCAGTGTCAAAAACTTGGTTTAACGTTTAACTTTTTTATTTATGAAGATATTTAAAAACTTCCTTATTTACGGAAGCATTTAAATGAAATTGAATACATAGTCACTTGGAATACAAGCAAATCTAACACCAGTTTTAAAATGTGGTTGCACAATGGCCACTTTCTTATTTATGAATAAAAGTTTTAGACATTATGATGCTTAACATGATGAATATACTAATTTCCTTCAATATTTTACAATTTTTGAGTTATAGGTATTAGGTAATGCAAACTTTAATTTTTTTAATGGTAGTCATAGTTGGCTTTGACATTTTTAAAAAGGACAAATTTTCCTCTTTATAAGGCTTGCTAAATGTACTTTAATAAATAAACGCGCTGCAGGAAATTTCGTATTATTGAGAGGTAAATAAACATGGAAAACACTGTCTAGTGAGATAGGTAAATAGTGCAACTGTGGCATATTTAACATATTTAAAGGCCATCTTCGAAAATTCACTATATGAAAGTTAAAGTAATAATTATATTCAATACACTATTAAAACTAGATCGTATCATGCCATGGAAAACAATAAACAAAATCGAGAACAAAATACTGCTGTTCATTGTTGAAAGCCTCAAAGAAAACTTGGATTTAATGTTTGGTGCAAAATTGTTGGATCCAAGAATGCGCCTTTAATTTACGATGAAAATTGGACAGGCCAACGTTATCTTCATTTTCTACCAAATGAATTTCAAGATATATAGGAATGGGTTAGATTTGGAAACACGACGTAATTTACGCTGGTTGCAACACAACGGTGCCCCGCCGCACACCCAACTGCAAGTATAAGAGCACCTAAACCAAATATTTATTTGTCAAAAAAGTACAATGAACCTTAGGTATATGATTGTAAACAAAAAAAAATGCAGTTTAAAAATTTGACAGTCAACTATGGTTCTATCTATTACTATTTCTACTATTTCTACTATTTTTGTCTCGATTTTTGTTCTTTGCCTATTTCTGTATTTTTAATACTAACGATTCTACAACATTTAAAAGAAAAATCACTGATCTGTTTTTCGCTCATATCTAGTAAACTGTGGATTTTTTTCTCAAAAAACAAAAGCATATCTTGAATAAGCTCTTAAAACGACAACTCTTTCCTCATTTAACCGAATCTCTATGTTTTACGGTTTTTGAGATTCTAATGCTTAAAATGAAAAAAAAAAACTCACTCTACTGTATCTAATTTAAGATGATCTCTAAGTTTGTTTGTGTTTGCATGATAACGGTTTTGGCAGATAACCTGCACGTTTAGTTTGACATTTCTGATCACAGGGCTGAATGTCATCATATCATGATATTATTTTTTATAGATATATCATGGTACCTGTATATCAAATTTGACAACCAGTGACGTCATTAGAAGCGCAGGCGTGCGCGTGAGGTCTTACTAGATTACAGTATCACGAGACAGTATGGCTATTAGAAATCGAAAGTTACAAATAAGTCCTCGTATATGCCGACCAAACAAGGCTTAGCTTGGACGATTACGTAACCTGATCTTGATATAATCTAGTCCTCCGCCAATCCAAATTGTTTATTCAAAATTGCTTATTATGAGATCGAGATCATAGCCGCACTATTAATAATGAAAAAAAAAACGAAAATTTTATCAGTTCTTCCTTGAGTGATAATAAACATAATACTGAAACGAGAATTTGAAATTTCGAAACCGTTCGCGAGTTATCATGTACACAGACGAACGGACAGAAAGTCCAAAATCATGAACTCGCTGTACAGGCTCGTTCGTAAGTCGAATATTTCAGCCGTAACATCATTGGCTTTTGAGGTCGCTTTTTGAGTTCATTAGAGAATAGGATCTCTTCCTTTATAGCACCATCATAAATCGCACATACACTATCAGATGATAACATTGTGCAACATCGCTGCTTTTATCACGCTAAATTGCATAAGCAAAGTTTGGCTGCTGTCATTTCGTACGCAGAAATCAAGATACGCTCTTTTTGCTCTTTTAATGGTTACTTTTTTTTTAATTTTTGCAGAGCCTTATCACGTATAGAAATAATTTTTTTAATATTATCGATCAACCACGGAGCTCTGGATTTTGCAGCCTTTATTTCATAAGCAGAAGTCATATAAAGCATTGTAAAGGTTTCTCACAATTCTGAATTTAATTTAGACGCCAAAAATAGCAAGCTTAGGTTCTGCCGTCGCGGTCGTTTTTATAGAAACAGCATTGTCATATGTTCTGAATAGTGAACGGCTGTTATATGACGCTCCGCGTGACATTTGAAATAAGGATGACAGATGTCATTAGAATGCATAATGATCTGTTTCACTTAATCTATCCTCACGACTTAGCCTACTCATTCAAACTTATTAAAATGTCATTTTAACACGAGTTTTAACATATGCTATAAAATCAAGTTTATCGTGTACTACTGTCCAAATGCCGCTAGCCAATACAAGACGTATCAAAAAACTGATTGTGTATATATTCTGCGAGATATTCTGTATAGGTACCCAAAAAGTACTACATATATTGTATAATAATGTGCTGGTTATCGACATCCAATGTACTGACTAACTTCCAAATACCGCCAGACAGTACATCGAAATATCAGCATTCTTAATTGGTAGCAATTTTTTTTGTCATTTTAAGATAGTACTTAAACGGTACTACCGTTGAGTGAAGGAATCGAGGTCCTTCACTCAAGGGTACTACAGCGCGTACTGGCTGCCTTTACGCACGTGGCACTGTCATATTCAGAAACCTTCGATAACACCGTGTACACGTCTCAACTTCTAGTATCTTGTTTCCCTTCAATTTCCTTTTGTTGTCATTTCCGTCACCAGCTATGGATAATTTGCGAATTATAGGCCAAAAATCCATAAATCTCGCGATTCTCAAGTTAGTATAAGGTTCTTTGTTGGATAAATTGAGTAAGATCTACTTGCTACCAACTGTAGGTACTAATTAGATGCCAACTTTATACCTCTGTAAAAAAACACTGGGTTTTCGTGACTCCTATGGGCTTATGGTATATTGATACAAAACTGACATTTTTAGTTAGGGTACGATGCTCTCAATTCGTAATTCCATTTATAACGCCATGCAGACGTAAACTTCGAGCACATGTCGCATAAAATCAAATTTAGACATGCCACACATTAAAGTGAGCACAAAAATGAAATACCTGGTGCGGATTGTACGCTACTCGCGGTAGCGCGATCCTCTTCCGTAATGGTCGCCAGTCCTTCGTTAATAATATGCTCACCGATCGAATCACTATCTGTCGCACTGGACGAGTCCACGTCACTCGAATCGCTATCGAAATTATCGACGGAATAATCGGAGGACAAACGTTCGCCCTTTTCGATCGCGTATTGATGATTATCCTCACCGTCCCGATCTTCCGTTGTGGACGTTCGTTTCGATGACGACGAGTCGTATTTGGAAACAAAATTTTGTATGTCCTCCGCAGTTAAATTAAAATCGTTAACGGCCTCCTCGAAGTTGTGGTCCGCACTTTGAATCGAAAAACTAAAAAAACTACTATCGTCGAATAAATCTCGTGATTCGAAATCGCCCCTGTCCGAAACAATTCTGTCGATATAATTTACTTGATTCCTTACCGAAAAGTTACCGCCCAGAGCCTCTTCTAAACTTGTGATATTTTTAGATCTAGCGTGTAAATTCGTAGGGGATTTCGACTTCCGTGTTTCACGCGCCATTCCTGAGAAGTGATTTTCAATTTCACTTTGCGCCGCTGCGCCGTTCGTATTATCATTACTGTATGGAGGATTTGGATTATGGTCGAGCCAGTGTAAAGGCCCTTCAGCGTCATTGTTACTCGATGCATTCTTATCATTGTAGGTTTGATTACTGGAGCTGCTTGAGGGCGAGCACGCTTCTTTTGTGTACGGTAACGAGTCTCTCAATTGTTCAGCACTGCAAGTGTTTAAAAAAGGGCGGTTTACTTTCACATTTTGTTCCTCGAGAACTGCCACTGCAGCTGCTACCATCGTGCCACCCCCGCAACACCGATCGCGCATCCTACCAGTTTATTTTTAAGCTACGTTCGCGTGCGTATGAAGAACCAACGATAAGTCCACCTAAGTACCCTTGTCATTGATTTATGAAGGTAATTTGGAAGTTCACACTAAATATTTACGTAAAGATTCACACGTTCGTAGAGAGCGTTTTTAATACGAGGCGAAAACACGACCAACAAACAATAAACTAATAATTAAATCCCAGCAATAATGGCCACTTTAGTTAAGAGAGCGTAATATTTATTAATTATTCAATACAAATGTCAAGTGGTAACGTTATTAACAACGTCTCAGCAACGACTGAGCAATGCCTTATGCGTACAGTCGCGACAGACTTAAAATAACTCAGTTATTTAGTCAGTTACGTTATGTTTGTATCTTAAATGCGACTTGGCGAATGAAATACTGTAGAATCCATTTATCAAATCTATTTAGATTGTTTAGAATGCGGAGGGAAGAAGTGAAATTTAGGTGCCGCGCATCAATCAATTAAATAATCAAAACCATAAAGAAGTTACTGTAAGTGAGATAACGATAGCCGTTTGCAATTAAAACACGTGACCTTTTTAATGAGTACTTGTTTGCACCAAGCCTTCATGAGAAAGTAATTTTATTACGCGAACGGCGCCAATTAAAGTTTTGTTTGTAAATAAATGAAGAAATTTTAAAATATGGGAAGATACTTACGCTGTTTTAATTTTCATGCATTATAATTATGACTCATTAAACGTTCAATAAAATGAGCACGTATAACAAAGCAAAATTTGAATCCTACTTGACGAAATGGTTGGAAAATAAGAATATGTATTCAATTATAAAGTTCAGATATAATTAAAATTCACTCTCACAACTTGCTATGGATTACACAAAAATTATGAAATTATTCAAGGTGACCTTAAAACATTATATCACTACCTGCCTAAAATTATGGCCGACACATAATAGTCTCCAAATATTACCTACTTTTTTTAGAAACAATTAAATAGGCACCAACTAAGACATGACAATAGATGTCAAAGGAGACGAGTTGTTCACTGATGACCACAGTGTAGGTATTCACATACACTATAGTCAATAACTCGACGGTTAGGGTGGGTTTGTAGGATATGTCCAATTTTTTCTGGACATATTCAGCTCGGGTGATCGGCTGTGCCGCCTCACCTCGCACGTATATACACTGTGTCTAAGATAAGGATGTCTATCATGGTGATCTGACAATTGGGTCTTCTTGAAAAAAATTAATATAACTTTTTTGTGTCTTATTGTAAAGTTTATAACCTGTAATTAAACATTTCATATAAAACTGTTTTTTCTAATTGCAACATGTCAATAAACAACATATAATATCGTAAAACTTAAATTTTGTCACAAACCCGACGAAATGCCGATATTGACCGAGCGCTGCTTACGTCACTACGCAGGTTGGCTATCGAGAGTTAGTGCATGACGGATTGAAGTCGTGTATTAATTCGACTTAGAATCCCATCTAACACAAAATGAGTTCTGACGGGTTTATAAAGGGGCAGTCAGACTGCTAAAGGTTCTCGTGTTAACGGTTGCCGCCCTTTTCTCGAAAAGTGAGTTTTTTCAATGCAGCTGAAACGAGTGAAGTCAAAACCCAGAGGTAAGTCGGTTATGCAGGTAAAATCAAAACAAAAATTTTTTTTAATGTGCTTAGTGTTCATTTTCAAGGTTTTTTAAACAAACACGGAAAACCCAATTGTCAAATTAGGAAAAAGTTGCGTAATTAAACAGTTATTATCATGCTTTAAAGAAAAACCAGAAAATTCCGATTGCTTCCGAAGATATGAGAAAAACCGAAATTTGTCAAATTCGTTTTTATTTTTTTCTGATGTTATTTAAAGAGATATAAAAAAATAGAAAACACATTCTCATTGCCACTCTTTGAGCTCTACAAGGCATTGTTGAGAGATTTTCAATACACAACGTTCCATTTCGGTAAGGTAACAATGTATGCGTTATTTTATTCATAGAGCGTGTAAACGCTGCCTTAAAAATTAACTACATTATCGATCGCTAGATGTCACTCACTATAACAATAACAAAACATGGCGCGCAATAGGTATAATTTCCACTTCCCGGTCTTGTCAGTAATCATATCTGTATAAAAGGAAGATCCCTCGACTGGCGCTAATTCGATCAGAGTTCTTGGTGGGCACTGCAGCAGTCGTGACCAAGATTCTAAATAAAATTTATAAACGCACAATTGGAATTTATTTTATAACAATGTTATACACCCTGTATATATAGAATATAACCACAATAACAAATGTTGGTATCCTTGAGTAGCGTTGGGCAAAAAAATCGATTAATCGATTATAATCAAACGATAATCGATAATCGGGTTTGATTATTCTATTAAATTAATCGATTAATCGATTATTTGATTAATCGATTATTTGATTAATCGGTTATTTGATTAATCGATTGTTTGATTAATCGATTGTTTGATTTGATTAATCGGTTATTTGATTAATCGATTGTTTGATTAATCAATTATTAAGTAAATTTTAATTGATTATTATTAGCTGGATCATCAGTTTACGCAAAAAGGAGCACTCACAGCTCACAAGTATTATTTTATTTTATAGCGGATGTTAAAACGTCACTTTAAGCAGCTAAAATGAATTAAGATTGTATCATCAAAACTAAAGCACACCTCATCGGAGAGTAAGCTGCCTAATCATTTATTTTTATTTATTTATTTTTATTTTTGACCTTCATTTTCAAATGGGCAGGGTTTCAGCCAAGGCTGTTCTACCAACCAACCCACTATGCATTTGCAAATATCCATGCCCGAACCCGGATTCGAACCAGGGACACTTTGTTGATTATTGATTAATCGATCTGCCTAGTAATGAACGATTTGATGAAAAGAGTAATGGAATTATTTTTTATTTTTATTATTAAATAATTAACGTATTAATGCATACAAACAGATATTTATCACTCCTTGTATGTGACAATCGACTTTTGATTAAACGATTAGGTGATTAATCGATGATTTGATTAATCGATTATTTGATTAAACGATTATTTGATTAATCGATTATTTGATTAATCGATTAATCAGTGTAATCGATTATTTTTCATAATCGATTATCGATTATTTTTCATAATCGATTATCGATTATTCAAACCCGTAATCGCCCAGCCCTATCCTTGAGTGTGCTGATCTGTGGTATCTGGCCGCGATAGGGTGGTGTCAGGCTCAGGTATTTCAAGAGGTTGTCGCAGACTCAGTGGCCTCGATCAGCTTCCGAAAATGTACTACGCAAATTTTGATCAACACCTGTAATATTGAATAAGAAAACAAAAATCTGGCCCTCTATCTCGGTCGCACAGTGGGTTCGAATAAACACACATGACACAATTACAGGCCGTGCGCTACAGCATGGGGAATAATGGCGCGAACCGAATATGACATCGCCAGCTGTCGGGAAAACTTGTCAATTGAGATTCCTAGTTCAATTAAATCTGTTTGTGATTAATGGGTGCGTGTTTGCTATCAACAATGTAAATTTCAAATCGATCCACGGCGCCGCTAAAATTTAGTTGTCAACCGATGATGTGATGCGCAAGCAAGTTTTAAATTCCTTCGCCAATTGAGCGTATCTTACTATATTCCAGTATCATGCTCAATGCGAACCTGGACCAGTTCAAGGTCGCTCGACAACTGCCGCTGACCAGGTGCCAGGGCATCCGCTTTCAAGGTCATCTACCCCATTGCTTGCGGTGCCACAGCTTATTCCAGGTCAGTAAAGATCAATTTTTGTAATGGCACATTTTATTTTCAAGGTCAATAACGTTAAATAACCTCATTTTTGTCGTATCATATTTCATTTTCAAGGTTATCCAAGTTCAATGACCTCAACGATTCCTTTTTGTGTTGTGCTAGTTCATTTTCAAGGTCATCAGAGATCACCGCCAACTGTTATGTTGTCATGTTTTATTTTCAAGGTAATCAAAGTTGAATGTTTGCGGTGTCATATTCCATTTTCAATGACCTTAAAAAACTACAGGTGAGTTCAAGGACACATGATTAAGAACGAAGAATCGCATACGATTTTCAGTAGGGGAATTATTTGCCACTCAGCTCGCATTCGGAAACCAGACTTTCAATCCGGCTCATATTCAATAGCGCTGTGAACTCATAGAAATCGATTGGCGAATGTTTGACATCTGTCTTTTTTCGTTCTAAATTGAGACGAGGAAGAGACGGACAGACAAACGGCCAAAACCATCACGTACGAAGGAGAATTTTTTTCTTTTACACCACTACTACTCACATTAATTTCCAACACACTGTATTTTTTCGATATTTGAAGTTCACTATGATTTTTAAACGGTTTGCACAATGTATTTAAATCAGAAAAATCTATCTTTAGTAAAAGAAAGATGTCGATTGATTCAATTATAAACGAACACAGCCGCGCTTTATATCCTAATTATGTGTCCTTGAACTCAAATCAAATAGCGTAATTGACTTTGGATTATCTTGAAAGTGAATTTTGATACCGCCAAAATTAGATCTTTGATGTAACAAAAATAGGATGTCCTTGAAAATGGACTTTACACAGCAAAAAAAATCGGAGGTCATTGAACCTTGAAAATGAAACATGCACAACGCGAAATAAGAAAAATAACAAACGACAAAAATGACAAACTGATGACCTTGAAAATAAAATGTCATTACAAAAATGGGGTCAGTAACTTCCGATGACCTTGCAAATAGTCAATTACATACCTACCAAAGTTGTAGATAATTGAATTTTGATCACCTTGCAAATTAAATACACCACAAAAAAGGGGGCCATATTGCTCCTGAAAATTAAATAAGATATGACAAAAATGAGGTCATTGAACTTTGATGACATTGAAAATAAAATGTTACATTACAAAAATGGGGACATTGACCTTTAATGGCGCTGTGAGTAAAATGTGACTGCAAGAGAGGAGGTTGTTGACCTATGGTAACCTTGAAAATGAAACATGACAAAACGAAATAAGAAAAGTAACAAACGACAAATTGATGGCATTGAAAATAAAATTTTGAAATTTGTCGGTACATACGGCCATTAGACCATTAAGAATAGTTTATTGGAAGCAATGAGTTGTCCATTATGAACAAATAAAATTCTAGATATATTTACGAAAATGAATCATACTCGAAAATCTTACCCTCGTGTAATAATATGTCTGTATGTCCGTGACCACTATTACTCAGTTGCGCAACGAAGAATTAGTTTTTCAAAATGAAAACCCCAACATCTGGGTATATTTTCTCATTTT